AATTTAAAAGGGCTGCCCGGACCTGCCGTTCAGCTGTTTGTCGGCAGATCGGGGCAGTCTGGATGCGACGCGCCGACAAAGAAGCCTTTCTTCATCGGCACAGGTAAACCTGGTTTCACGAGGCTTACCTGTGCCGATGAAGAAAGGCTTCTTTGTCGGCGCGTCGCATCCAGACTGCCCCGATCTGCCGACAAACAGCTGATCGGCAGATCGGGGCAGCCATTTAAATTTAAATGAAGCCGCGATTATTTTAATCGCGGCTTCATTTCCCTCTTTCGATCTGGCTAATCTACATGCCTCCGTCGAAGGAGGCATGTAGTCTAGACACACCCTTAGAGATGGTGCTGAGCTGGTGAGTTCAGATATGGAAAGGAGAGGTTACTGACTTGTATAGTAATTACAATTCTTTGAGATGCTTTAACCCTATAATTCCAGGTGTGCAAGCACACCACTGTGCCTTGAATTCGATATTTTTGATAGCAGTGTCTGCAGTCCTTGCAGGCACTTTATACATTATCATGCTCCAATGCTAGAACATACAGAGAAGCATGGATGCACTGTGAAATCCAGCTCAGAATGGAATTTCTTCAGTTTTGCAGGGCAAATCTTTCTTGTTGACTATTTCATACTATTCAGCAGAATGTTCAGTACCTTGGGTGAGCAGTTCATTGCTAAGCCATCTAGAGCCATCTAGGAGCTAGGCTCTGCGGAGCAGCTGGTAAAGGTTGGGATGCTGCAGTTTCCCCAATGTGTGTGGCAGAAGATTCAGAGTTAGAGGCAGGAGAAAAGCTGGCTTCAGGGACAGGCTAAGCAAGTCTAGAAAGCCAAGCTCATGCTATGAGGATTATTTTGGCTCTCTCATTATACTGTATTCAGGAGTTTGAGGAATGAAAATGTCAGTATAGCGCAGTGCTTGTGATTGAAGAGTGATCAGAGCATCTTTTAGTGATCACAGACATAAAATCCCCTCCTGTAAAATTTGTGGCATCTCATGTTAGATGGGGTTGTGAAAAGGTCTGTGCCAGTAAAGCCCCAGGGTGACGGAACTTTGGATGGAGACTTCAGACTCCAAAACCATATCCTCTTCTTTCTAGTGTGTGTGGGGGTGAGGGCGGGGTAAATGGAAGAACTGCACGTGAAAGTTCTCTCCATATGGAGCCTGCCTAGATTATAAACTCTTCAGGACAGGGAGTAGATCTTTCTGTCTGGCTATTCTGTGTGGCACACTGAAGCCCTGCTCTTGACTGGAGCCTCTGAACATTGTGGTAATTTAAATGTGAAATGAGAAGGTCACATTCTCTCAGCAGCAAACACCAATGTTTGTCTGAATACCACATACAGAAGCACAGGGATGACTTCCCCATCCTCAGGAAGGATAACTGTGGTGTACACTTCATGCAAATGAACCAGAGCTGTCCAGGGGATTTATTGACTGGCAGCTGCCATATTTAATAACACCACAAATAACCAGGTATGTAGCCATAAAGCTTAATAAACTCCAAGGTTAGGATTAAATACTGGCTGGAAAAGACTAATGAAACATCCCAAGGGCATGGAGTTCCACAAAGGCCGGACAGGTAAAGAACATGTTACTAGCAGGTACCATCTCTGAGACAGTAACAAGGAAATCCCAGCATGGATGAAATTTCTGGGAGCTATCTGTAATCTCCAAAGGGAGAAGGACCAGATTCCTGGAAGTCCACTAGGAACTTCTGCTTTTGCCACACTAATGATCATGAGATGTATTCAGATACTAGGGTGATGGGTGACAGTACAAGATGCTTAGCTGGACAGTTATGATGACTATGTCCAGAAGTGGGTCAGATACCTCATGGTACAGATCATAAGGCCCCCGACTTATGAATGTACAATCAATATTACATACCTGCCATAAATGAAGTAGCAACAAAAACAGCAGAGCAGGGACAGGGCAGGGAAGAAAAGAAAGGTCCTACCCTCATCCTCACAAGAAAGAACTGGAAGAGAGCAGTGCATTTCTTAAGGCTTTGGGGGCTGCTGACATCACCAGGACACCAAGCCAATCATTAGTTTCACACTGTGGACTCTAGTTGGGGGAGTGGCATGTGACGTAGTATGGAATTTAGGGGATACTTCAGGATATTATGAATATCAGTATTGTAGAATGGCAACAAGTTATGCCAGATGTGCCTTGTAAAATACCCACGGAAATGTTATAATCTGCCAAATATAATAATTTCTTATGTGCTCATATTACCTTTGTATTTTGGGTTTGAGATATATATGTATGTATTACAAAACTCATGCTGTGCTTCTGGGTGACACTCACAGACAGTTTGGCATCAGCACTGCCTAGACTGGTTGGTGGCCCATCAGGGGTTATCAGCTATGCTCCTGACCCAATAAAAGAAGGCAAGAGATACACCTTATGACTCAGCAAGGCATGCAAGGGCATGCCTATGGACAGAGCTCTCAGGTTTCCAGACTGTGTGCTGGGCAGCTTGGGTTTGGGCCAAATGAAGTAGAAGCCACGTGGTAAAAGGAATATAAAAGGCAGCTGCATCTTTTCCAACGTGTCTTCAGTCCTGTTCTAACCTCTGGAGTAAGCATTCTACAAATTAAACTTTGAACAAAGGACTAACTGTCCCATCCAAACTATGGATGTGTTCCAGAGGAACTTCAAGCCAGCTAACTCACCAGTACTGCTAGGTACTTGGATGTCCTTGTACGTATGTGACTGCTTTATCATTTAATATCTTCTTTCTTTATAATAAACCTTTAGTTTCATACACTAAAGTATTGGCTGTCAGCATTGTATTTTGAGTAAGATCCAAACCTATACTGACCAGGTAACGTGGCTGACCCTGCAGGGTCAGAAGAACATTTTGCATATGTGAGAAGAGTTTTTAAAAATAACTTCTCGCTGTACTGAGCCTCGCTGCTGGGTGGGAGCCAGAGAACTGGCAAGCAGTAAAGGAGGCTGTGTTTTCTTTTTTGGCTTCTTGATAAACCAGAGACAATCAAAAGCACAATTTATGACTGGTTGGGAAGTTTAACTTCAGTGTAACCCACCAGTTTTAGGATTATTTGCTCTCCCTTTTCCAGCTGGTCCTGACTTGAGCATTTCTAGTGAGGGCTACTCCAGGCACCCCCAGTTACAGGGGGCATAGCATTTCACAGGGTAACTAGAGCAGAATATGGCCCTTGCACTATGAGGACTTTGGGGTCGGGACTCCAAAATGCACATGACTCCATTTTAATGGGATCACCAGGGCTGGCATTATACTTGCTGGGGTTCAGGGCTGGAGCCAAAATCTGAGCCTCTCTACCTAGAGCTGAAGAAACCCACAAGTTTGGGGGGTTGCCGAGGGTGGTGGGGCTTGAGCCCCCACAACTGAGATGGCAGGTGTCATGCTCTGATCTCCCTTCCTGGGGTTATGTAGTAATTTTGGTTGGCAGAAGAGCATTGTGGTGCAATGAAGTTTGAGAAAACCCACTCTAGGTACTTGATAGAAAAAAAGTGGGGGAAAGGGGGTCTAGAATCAGAACTGTAATCTCTGCTGAGGGGAAACCAACCTGCCCTGCACAGAACATGTCACCAGAATCTTGCTAGGGCAGGTGAAGATGGCCTAGCAAATAAATAACCATGCTCACAGGCAGGTGTCCCTGCACCAAAGTGAAATAAGGTGCTGTTTGGCAAAGAGTTTGAAATTATGGGCAGGTCGCTGCAGCTGCTTAAGACTCCTCATTAGCTCCAGAAGTATTTACAGTCCTTCTGAAAGGAAGAGAACGTAGAGGGCTATTTGGAGGGAGCATGTCCTCTGAGGCATTCCGTGGAGCTAGTGCTAAGCTGTTTCTCATATCTGCAGTTCCCTCATCTTTTATCTATGGGGATTTGTCTCATACACTTTACATCTTCCCTTCAGTTTGACAGCCAGCTCTGCTCTAGAGCTGAACATGATTCCCAAAGAGCTACCCCTCCCCAGAAACCCAGCACTTCGAAATCTGGGTCTAGATCTGAATTCTGTGACTCAGACATTTGGAACTGAGCAGAATCCAAATCTCCCTCTGCCCTTCCCAAATATATTAGCTCTTAAGTTCTTACCTTGTGAAGCACTTGAGAGTACAAAGTGTTGCTAAAAGCCAGATTCTAGTCTGTGCTATTTATCTGCCTCCCCAAGCCAGCAGCTTGGCTCCTGGTCCTGAGAAGTGAAGCCATAAACAAAGCAAGGACTGACAACAGCAGTGATACAGAGAGGAAAAAAGAGCATTCTTGAGAGAGACTAATCTGGCAACAGAGAGTCAAGCTGACTGGAGAAGTTAATGGAAGGAAGATTTGTACAGGGGGATCCACTCTAATCTCATCCTTTAAGAGATATAATGTGATGCCACTGGGAGCCCACAACAGTGAGCCCTACTTCAGAGGTTCAGGGCATCTCTCATCAGCTGTAATTAGGGTTCTAATCTTAAATCCTTGATAGAAAAAAAAATCTTAGCCTCAAAGTTAAATGAGCTCACTATCTAATCTGCCATTTCCCTTCTTTACTGTGTCATTCATTCATGATTATTTCTGTCTCTGGGCAGATCCTTCATTTTTCTGAGTCAGCACATCCCATCCTGCACCCCTAGGGACCTCAGTGAAGTACAGCTGATTTCCACCAGCCAGTATTCACGCAGATCAGTTGGATTTCATTTGTCTGTCACTGTTTCCCCTCTCCTACTTGCACCAGAAGTGGGGTCAGTTGTGCAAGTCACAGGAGCGCCCTACAGCAGGAGTGTCAAACTAATTTGAGTGGCAGGCTGAATTCCATGTCCAATTATATACTGTAGGCCAGAATACAAGCTCTGCGACATACCTTCTTCCAGCACTGCAGAATGCTCGCTGATGGTAGACATGTGCAGAGATGTGTGTGTGTGTGAGGGGTAAGTATAGCCTTTATGTAATAACTAAATGTAGTTATTCCATGTTTTATTGATGCATTCACTCAGTGAGAAGGCATGCCCCTTTTAAGGTCTACTTCTATTTCTCTCTGATTTTCTTCCTCATTCTCCTTCCACTGTTTCTCCCCACCAGCCTTATTTATGAGTCACCTTTTTTCTTTTCTCTGCATTGTCTTGACTGCAGCAACTCCCACTTCCCAGCAGCTTCACCCTCTGCCAGCAGCTCAGCTCCTGGTCCTGGGAAGCTGTAAAAAAAATAGAAATGAAATAGGTGTGTCATCATTGGACTTTAGAGTGGATACTAATCCAAATCTGATTGAAGTCAACTCTTTGGGTCGCTGTTTCAGGCTATCTGCAGACTCAGGCACCTAGCTCTGCAAAACTTGGCTCATTGAGTGGAAGATGCTTTCTGCAGACATGAAGAGGGCTTTTTTAAAATGAGAACAGTGAGAGTCTGCTCAATCTGGACATGTCATGCTACCCCATAAACATGCCTTATGGACTGAATCCAATCACTAGTCCACACACTTGTCCCCTTGTCCTGCCCCACCAACTCTTAGGGGCAGTTGAGTGGCTTCCTTCAGAACACCAGAGTCCATGTAGATGTTCACAAAGCTGCTTTTTTTTGTTTCAAAACAGCGTTTTATGTTCCCTTTTTTGCTTTTCTAACATTCCAGGCTTCTGAGAACATAGCAACATCCACCACTCTAGAAGAGAATGATTGATATTGCACAAGAGTGGAGCCAAAGCCACATTGTAAGGTTTAACTGGACAGAGTACCCTGAAATTCAGATCCTCAGCCAGTGTAACAGACAGCAGTATGACAATTTACATTAGCTTCATCTTTTGTAAAAGCATGGGGATTGCTGTGCTAGGCTGAAAAGTCTACAGCATAGACTTGGATGGTTATTTTGGCACTTTTCCTTCCCGCCCCTGGGGGGAACCAGAAAACAGAGACCCCTGTGAGGAGAGAGCTGAAATAATCACATGAATTTCTTCCAACTTAAAGAATTGGTTCAGCTCCAGTTCTGGGTGACAGAGGGAAACCAGATGCCAAGTCCTGTTGCCAAAAAAACCTAGTTTCTATAAGTCCGTCCCTTTTCTTTAGCTGGAGAGTCAGAAGAAACCATCAGTCATCAGCATTTAGGTTTTATACCACTTTCCTTTTGGCTTCTGTGTGTGTGTGTGTGGAAGGGAACAGCTTTGCTCAGATCTATCACTGCTAGTCAGACTTTTTTTGGGCTGTACAAGAATTACCCCGGGGTCCCAGGCCCCACCACAAAGATGTGTATGATCCTGCTCTGCCCCAAGACAGATTATCCAGCCACTTTACCACAGCTCTCCCGGTGTCCTGGGGTCGCTTTCACTCTGAAGCAAAATGGTGAAAGGGAAGGTGGACACTGCCCACTAGGACTTGGCAGGATCTTCATTTCCTGCTTTCTACAGGAGAGGCAGCAACACCAGGGACTTCTGTCCCCTATGGGAGAGGGCTGCTGAGCTGTCGGTAGTAGTGGTGATGGTACATCCAATCTTTGTTTTAAAGACCACACTCTAGATTGACAGCCAGCTCCTCATCTGTGGCCCAGTGAATAAGTGTACTGGAAATTTGCAGACTTAGGTCCTATTCCTAGCTCTGCTACTGGCTCACCAGGGATCCCAGGGCAAAGCACAACCTTTCTGTGCCTCGGTTTCTCCACTTGTAAGATGGAGATAACAGTGCTTGTGTACCTTAGTAAAGCGCACAGATGAAGTGCTATTTTTGCCTCCTTTTTGAAATGGTAATACCATGACTAGATACTGACATATCACTATTCCCAGGACCAGTTGTGCATGGCAAGAAAGGTTCATTCAAGTGACAGGAGTCCTGGGGCAAGATCATATAGTAATTCCTCATTTAACACGGGCCCGCTTAATACGTTTTTGCGATAGCACGATTTTTTTTTAGGGAACATTTTTTGAATTACACAACCGTCCCTGGAATAACACGATTTCCCCAGCTGGCGCGTCGCCAGTGGCTGCGTGGGGCTTCCCCTGCCTCCCTGCAAAGCGGCGGAGGGTTTGCCACTTGCTGCGCTGTTCCCTGGCGACCCCCCGTCGCCGGATGCGGTGTGGGTCCCGGCAGACCAGTCACAGGGGCATACTCCCACCCCATCCCCCGCTCCTCTCCCCCCCCCCCCTTCCCCAGAGCCAAACACCTCCCCTCTCTGCTGTAACCCAGTCCCCTTTCTCCCCCAACCTTATGTCCCGGTCCCAACAGACACCACCGCTTGAAACACAACCCCCCCCCTTTTCCATTATTTTCAATGGGAAAATTGACCCCGCATAACACGTTTTCACTTAACACGAACATTTTCTGAAACATATCTATAGTGTTAAATGAGGAATTACTGTTCTTTAATAATGGCTTTGAGCACGCTGCCTCCTTCTGAACAACTTCTTTCACCAGGAGTCTCTTCAAGTCATACCCAATTCTTATCTAGTACCAGTAGAGCTCAAAACTCTTGGAGATCAATACTGTTATCCCTTGTGGCACAGATGGGGAAACCGAAACACAGAAATGTGAAGTGACTTACCCAAAGTCACCCAGGAGGCCAGTGGCAGAGCTGGGTTTTGAAAAAGGCAGAGAAATTTTCAAACCAGAGCCAGTGAGCTGTGATTAGCCCGTGCCCATGGCGATTTATCAAGCTATTCACCCAGATAAAAACTAAGAATAAGCTGGCAGAGAAGGTTGGAGGTCACCATTGGAGGTAGTCACGGTCCTGCCAGAGACCCCATCCATCCATGTAAAATGGGTTAGATACCAACCCTACTATTATATACAGCAATGGTGCAAATCAGCACCTTTTGCTAGCAGTGCAATCTTTCCATAAAGATCAGGGCTCTGAATTGCATAGAAGCGCAAGCAGTGCAGTTTTCCTGACCTTCAGTGAATTGTGTATCGAGGCCTCTTATTTCTGTAGCAAAATCTCACTAGAAAAGCCACAAAAATTTGGCAGAAAATCCTGTCCCCCATCCTGACAGTATTAACTCACCAGCACACAGTGCATGGTCCTTCATTTTCTCTAAATGTAACTATCGGGATGCAGAATCTATGTTCAAAATGAGAACAGTTTAAATGACCATGCAGATAAGAGGTGGACCCAATGAACAGATATATGTGAGCAAAATCAACACCCATGAGCTAGAGCATCAGCTGTGCTGTGGAACTCCTAGCTCAGCAGAAAACACCTTCCAGAAGCGACAGCACCTCCAGCTTTCAGCTTATTATACAGGGAAAAGACAATGTAGTGACCTCCTTTAAAATACTGACAGCTACAAAGAGAGAATGGTCGGTCTCCTGAAACAGAATGTAATTAAAATTGAGAATTCTGCAGGAGTCACAAGTTGACTTATCAGCTCTTTCCCCATAGGAATAAAAATCTGTTTTAAGGAATCCCCAGGAATTTGGTTTCATTAATTCTTTCCAAATTGGTCTCCCCTCACCTCTTATCCAAACAATTGATCCATCTCTCTCTGATGCCTTTCATCCAATATATAAAACTCCCCACTGGTCCTGTAATTGTATCATTAACCATACATTGCTCTGAGAAACTTGTATGTAAGCTGCTATATAAAACTTCACATATGAACAAGTTTGGTGATCATCCAAGATCTTTTTACCACCAAACACTGGAAGCCCATCAACTGAAGCAGCTACTACAAATACCAACCAAGTTCATACAGCTTGTATTCAAGAGTTAAATCAAAAGCAATTTGCATTATAAAAACTATGGAATCAAAAACCACACATTGAGTAAAACAAGGAACAGCAGAAGTCTATTATCTCTAGTTAACATCACCCAGCAGACATTCACTTTGTGGTGAAATGGGAGTAAGGGTTGGATAAGAAGTCCCACTTCACAAAACTTCGTGTACCATCAGTCCTAGAGCTAGACATTGTTTGATATTCCAATTTCACTTACCTCCATAACTTCTTTTTTTTTTTAAAGTGGCACAAATGGTGTTGTCCGACTCAGAGTGGAAGGATTTTTAATATACTCATTGATGTGAACATGAAAGATTCTTGTTGATCACAGTTTCCCACAGCAACTGTTGCCATGGTTATAAATCATTTCTTATTGCCCCCCATGGGTCAGCAGCTGAATATAACAAGAAAGTTTACTATGGGAGAGAGAGCGTGACATACACACAAATACTCCTTCAGAAGCATGCAATCGGGTGCTGACCTACCAAAGGCAATTTTATTGCCAAAGCTTTAGGAAGTCAATAAAATAACCAAGGGACAAATGCTCTCAGTTGGTGATGCCAGTATACAATTCCTGCTTTCATGAGTGCATGTATTAGGGAAAAGCAGAAAAGACTGAGTGTTCACAGGGGAGCCACTATGTAAACATGCAAGCACATTGGAAGTGCAGAGAAAACAAGGAGGACATGTACAGACATGAGACTCTGTCAAACCTAAAGGGACCAGTGCATCTTCAGTTCATAAGAACTTTAAAAGACACCACCAAGACTGCTTGTTGCTTAGCCAAAGCATTAAGATACACTAGTTAACCCATCTCTGATATTAGGAGAGCCATAGAAAGTTTGAGTAGTAACCACGACTTTCTTTCCATTATCAGCTTCCGTGAGATTCACTCATACATGCAAACATTAACACTGTAGCAAACAGCCCTAAATCACTACCAGTGCAGATGCACATGGACCTCTTATTACACAGTCTCAAGTTCTGTTCTGAAAAGACTTTCTTTGTAGAAGTTTGACTTGGCTTAAGAAATCCTAGATGTGTGACACATTTTAGTAAATACACCGAAAACGGATGCAGAGAGACTGCTCATTGCATGCCACCCAACTGTTTGGCAGGGTGCCCACAGCTAGCAGCATGTGTTTCTATTGGTGGTGTATGTCTGCACATGCCTTGGTGCACATAAAATTTATGCCACACATGAATGGAAAAAAAAACAGAGGAACATTGCTTGTTATGTGCTTTGAACATATAAATTATCCCACACCAGCAAGTCATTTATTAACCTATTTAGCTACCTCGGGTGGTACGGAAAAATTATTTTTCTGCTAATACTATTCAGTCTTGTTCATACCAGAGAACTTAAGATTCACAATGCACCCACTGCATATTCATTCACAAAATGAATGTTACACACAAAGAAAATATCTCCAAGTTTTAGTCAGCTCTCGAGCCACTGATCCAAGTCTTCTGCACAGTTTCCCCAAGCTCACATGGGCAAGCTAGAACAGTCGTTATACTAGTCTCCACCTCTTCTCCCACTGCTCCTATGGAATAGAGAAATACAACAATATATAAGGCTATAGTCTACATGCATACCTTAATATAGAACTGTGCAGAGACAAGGAGAGTAGTTTTCTCTGACATCACAAAAATGTCATCCCAGGCAAATGGAGTCAAAGAAATGCAGGCAAAGAGTCCGAGATTAGGGATGTTAAATTGCGGTTAATCAGCTAATGGAGTAGTTGATGGAACTGACATCAACTACTCGATTAGTCAGTGCCAAGGCGCATGCCGTATCCCTGCTGCAGCTCTGCAATTTAAATGTAGTAGGAGCAAGGTGTGCAGCAGCCGGCTCCTACTACATTTAAACTGCAGAGCAGCAGCAGGGTTAGCTCCCAGGGTCCCTGGGACTGTTTAGTCCCAACTCGCCATGGCCCTGGGAGCTAACTTCGCTGCGGCTCTGCAATTGGGCTTACTAACCCCACTGGGCTCTTACTACATTTAAACTGCAGAGCCGCAAGATCCTGGAGCTGGAATGAGCTGCGACTGTTCAGTCCTGTCTCACACCAGACCTGGGAGCTAACCCTACTGCGACTCTGTGGTTTAAACATAGCAAGAACCTAGCAGAGTTAGCTCCCGGGGCTGCTCTGAGCCTCTGACTCCACTCCTCCCCCCTACACCACAGAGATAGTGCTGGGGGGAACCAGCTTTTAAGTTGGTTCCCCCCAGAACTGGCTCCTGCTTCTTCCTCCCCGCTGCCTCG